AAGAGCGGGGTGGGGGGCTACCCCCGACCCAGGCCGGGCCCTCCCTCCGTGTCTTTCCCGCATGTGGGCGGGGCCGGGGGCTGGTGGCGCCGTGCGCCCCCTTGTGGCGGTGCTGGGAGGACAGTGAGCCCTGCTCTGCCCAGGCTTCTGGAACCGTTAAATGCCCAGAAAAATGTGTTCCTGAGGGGGCGGGGCGGCGGCCACAGCAGCGTCGCGCACTTTCTGTCGAGGCCCAGGTAACTTGCATGCAGCTCTGCTGGCCACAGACTCAAAATGCGACAGCGGTCGTAGGAGCCACAGAAACGTGGCCTGGGCCAGTAGAAGTCTACTTATGGGAGCAGGGGGTGGGCAGAGCACAGCCTGCCTGCCCCAGAGCCCGGGGGCGGGGGGCACTCCTGCAAGGAGCCCAGGCGGGGACAAGCCGCTTGACACTCGGGGTCGAACCGTGGCTTATGAAAGGTCATGGGGGGCGTCCCAGGCCTTGGGTGGTGGGGCACTTCCAGCCGGATTGACCTCCCGGTGTGCTGGGCCTCTCCCACCCAGCACCTGCTCCCCCGCCGGCCTGCTTTTGACTCTGAGATCTGCGTCTGATGGAAGGGATCTTCTGAGCTGGGTAACGGCTCACAACGGAGTTTTCCTCCCAAGTCACAAAGTAGAACAGCTGTAGGTAGGCAAACTCCACTGTGAGGCTTGGTCTCCTTGCCACTTTTCTGACTGCAGTCGTGACAGAAGGGCCATCGGTTCCTCCAGCCGTTGGTTCTCAGAGCAGGTGCTGGGGTCCCGTCGTCGTCCATGGCGTCACAGCCCAAAGGCGGGCAGTGTCCCAGCAGGCCGACCCCACACGGCATCTTCTCGGGAGCTCGTGTACTAGAGTGGGGGGTTGGCACCTGTGCCCTGCGCTTTGACCCTGGCTCTCCAGAGTAGGGTGGGGGTGAGGCCCGCGTGACAGGCAGGGTGCAGCCTGGGCAGCCCTCCCAACAGCACTGCGCCTCTCCCTGGGTTCTCGGCCACGTGGTGCTGGGCCTGTGAGCTTGGGCTCATCCGCTGAGCAGCCCCTAGCCCAGGCCCCGCCACCAGGCTGCCTCCGTCCGAGACCAGCACCAGGGCTGGGGAGGAGGCGCCCCGGCCAGCACATCAGGGCTGGCGGCACCCTGGGCGCTCAGCGTCCCCTCGGGCATCCTTACCTTGTCTCCGCACTCCAGGAGGCAACGTGCGGGCCACAGGCATGACCCTGCAGTACACGGCGCCAGGGGCGGAGGGCATGACGCAGCTGAAGCTGACGGCCGGGGAGGATGCAAATGGCAGCAGAAGGCAGGCGACAGCATGGCTGGTGGCCATGCACAAGGTACCGTGGGCCCGGCCCTTCTGCTCAGAGCACTGCCCACCTTTCCCAGAGGGAGGCCCGCCGCCTGCCTAGCCGGGGTGCCCCCACTGGATTCAGCCAGGCACATGCATTTATCTCTGGTCACCTTGCAGGCTGCCAAGCTTCTCTACGAATCTCGGGACCAGTAACGCCACGCGGGCTGGACAGTCCGCTAGGGGCAGCAGCACCTGCTCGCCGAGCACGCACAGGCGCAACTAACCCTACACGTGCTGGAAACGCAACTCAAGTACTCGGAGCTTACCTAGTGCAATATGTACACAGTTGATTAATGCTCAGAACACCTCGTGCTTTAGAATTTGTCTCTTATCGATGCCTAATTGGGGGTGGGAGAGACTGAAGCTACACTACTGCTAAAATCATTTTAGCATAATCTATACCATGTTTTTATGAGTGCCCAAGTTTACTAGATGGTTCTGGCCCCTTGATGTTCGTTCCATTAATTCTTCCACAGAAGTGATGTGGGCAGTGGTGACTCAGCCTGATTTGCACTGGAGCGCATCTCAGAGGCTGCCCGTCCACGTGTCACTCATCTGGGGCTGTGAACAAACCTTTGCTATTTCATAGGGGAAGGAAAGAGATTTGTGTTTTATACTTTTCACTATTTCCCTTTATTAAAATAATTGTACAACAATTTGTATATAAAGCTTACGATTAAAACCTATTTTGAAAATACGGACCAGGCCTCACCTCACTGTGTCCAGACAACCTGAGCTTCATGCTCAGCTCAGTTCTGGCTCCAGAACACAAGACTCACTCACAGCCTCCGGTGAGAGACGGCGGTTTATTGTGTGCACGTTTACACGCCACCCGCAGAGACTGCCTTGCAGGGTGTTCGCTTCCCATCAGCACACTGTGCACAATCAATCAATCAGCGCTTAAAGGTAGGCGACTCTACAACGAGGACCTACACGTGTCTGTCTGTCTGTACGTAAATTACACACAAGACTCACGCATGGAAAATAAGCTCAGGGCCTGGATTTTAATGAGAGAAAAAAACATTTCCAACATGGTTCTGACAGTTTCGAGTGGTTTAGTCAAAAAATAGTTTTGGTATATAAAAGCCTGTACGTACAGTTGACACTTCAGGGAAGCGCCTTACTTGCTTCAAGTCTGGAACCAGGCAGGTTATGGTGTCATGGCCGGGACCGGGGAGCCGGGGGCCCTGCCCTCCCGCCCCCATAGCCGCCCCCGTGACTTTGCAGGCGTCCCCGCATCCACCGCCTCCTGGCCCGTGGGCTGCACGTCCACGCTGGGAGGGGCGGGGACCACACCGGGGCAGCACAAGGCTGCAGAGAAGGTAGTGCTGTGCTGAGACTCCTGACCACGTGTCACTTGATCTTAAGGTCCCTCGTGTCCACGGCCTGTCGGTGACCTAGACCGAGGCCTGGAACAGGAAGTGGAGCCCACACACCAGGCACCACTGCTGGACAGAAGTCTCCACACAGGGCCTCCTTTGGTGATGAAGAAACACAAGTGGTGAGGATGAAAAAGGTGCCCGGGTTTCTGTGATTTCTAGTAAACGGGAGGGCAGGGCTCTAGCGAGGGGATGCACCTCACGGCAGCTGCAAGTTTTCATTGTTGGGGCTGGGGTGACACCAGGAATGAGGGACGGCAGCCTTGGGGCCCAAGTCTGTGACAGCATTCGTCTTCCTTGGCAACCGACCAGGGGTTAATTACAGGGCTTCTTACTGGCAACAGGGGCAGTTGTTTAGAAAGGTGGGTATTTATTTGGATTTACAGTAACTGGCAAAAGTCGGTCTTCCTGGAGGCGAAGGTCTCTCTCCCAGCTGCGGGCAGACCAGAGAAAGGGCCTCACCTAGAACCTGCCGGGCTTTCACATTGTGGACGCTGTCTGCTAAAGGGAGCACCAGTAAAAGCCATTTCTAGCTTCAGCTTCCCGGGGAAATGGCAGAATCATCTCTTCAGTGGCTCCTCGTCGCTGGAGAGCCCGTGCGGTGCTCCAAAGGGAAGTTCAGGCCAGTGTTCGCTGTCGGGGTTTGATCCGTGGGTACAACTGGGAAGCAAGGGACAGGAGTTAGGACAAGGGGACGACCCACTGGGCAGGAACCCCATCCAGAGGCCAGGCTGCCCTCAGAAGTCCGCACACCAGCTCCTTCAGGCCGAAGTTCAGCTTGTCACCCTCCTACGGAGACCTTCCCAACTCCCAGGATACCCCATTCCTCTTCCTCTCAGGGCACTTGACACTGACACTGTCCGTAAGGCCCCTAAAGGTGCCTGGCAGGCCCACGGTGTCCAGTGACTGTGTCACAAAAGCATCTGCCAGCCCCACCGGGCACAGAGCACGAGAGCAAAGGCACAGCCCTGCCAAGGGTCTGAGGAACCATCAGTGCAGTGCAGAGGAGCAGCCTGCAGTTGCCCTGTCCCCCACCCCATTACAGACCCCATGAGCAGAGCACGCTGTGAGCAGCCCGTCGGGGGGCTCTGGCAGATGACCCCCCCACGGCTCCCACGAGGCTTGGAGAAAGGCAGTCTCCTGCCCGCAGGATTGGAGCCCAGGTTACGCCCACGGGCAGGCAGAGGGGACAGCTGGCTCCGGCACGGGGCCCCAGGGGCAGCGCAGAGTGCTTACCCCCAGCAGGGTTTTGGGCACGTAGCCCTCCCGGTCCCCAAAGCGAGCCCACCACCAGTCCGTCTCGCTTTCGTCCTTGCGCCTCAGGATGGTGAGGGCGTCCCCTTCGTGGAAGGACAGCTCGTCACTGTTCTGGGCCTCGTAAGCCCACAGAGCATACACCACACCTTTGTTCATCACGCCCAACTTCTCCTGCACCCCTGGGACGGGAGAGCAAACGGTCAGGTCTCCTGGAGGGCGGGCTGCAAAGAGAGCCCCACGGCAGGACCAGAAGGGACACGCTGCTGTCCTTGGGCAGCCCAGCGGGGGCCGCAGTGGAGCGGTCAGAAGCCAGGCCAGCTGCCGCCCTCTGCTTAACACCAACAGTCCCTTCCACGTCCCAGCAAGAGGACCATGGCGGAGCCTTTGTGTCCAGGAGCAAAGCAGTGTTGTTCTAAAAGGCGTTTCTTAAGGTGAAACTTACAGCCCACACGCAGAACAAACTCCCAAAAGTCGATGACTAAAGAAGCCGCGGGACTTGCTCTTGGACAGTGGGAAGCACTCACCACCAGAGCGACGGAGCCACCGCGACCCAGTGAGCGCACACCCAGGACTCGCCTGCGGGTCCCCAGGAAGGCCGGCCGCCCCCCAGCCCCGCCGCAAGGCGTCTGTCCTGGGAGCTGGGCCTGGAGGGCATTGCCTGTTTCATTTGACACTTTGTCCCCAGGGTCTAAGGTAGGCTGGGCCCACAGGTTCTCCCATCGGGTGTAGCGTGGATGGCCTGTGACTGTTTAGCCCTTGGAAAACCCAGCCCTGTCTAATGGAGAAGGGAGCTTCCCTCCCCCACAGGACAGGATGGGAGACCCACCCTGGGACACCTCAGCCCTCACAGGCCTCTCCCCTGGGGACCCCTGGCCGCCCGCCCCGCACCGTGTAAGAACTGGGAGCACTGGGGGTAGCCTTCCTCTGCCTCTTCGCACTTGTCCGCAGCAGTCTCAACGTCGCTGATGGTGGAGGCGAAGACGGCGGCGCCGCTCTCCACCAGCTGTTTGCAGAGGTGGACGCTGTTGCAGGAAGCAGCGCAGTGCAGCGGCGTCCTGGAGGGACAGAGAAGGCGCTCACGCCCGGCCGGGACCTAGGCGGCCCCCCAGGCTGTGTGCTCAGTGCCCCGCGAGCTGCTGTGCTGCTGCCTGTGTAGTGCCTCACTTCTACTAACAGTTTTGGGCCACACACACGTTTCTGAAAAGGGCGGGCGGGGAGTGGACTGAACACCGGCCTGTAAGCTGGGTGTTCACGGTGCAACAGCACGAATGTCCCTCACACCAATGATGTGTCCCTTGCAATGGCTGCGACAGTGACGGCTGTGTTTTACCACAATATACAAAAAACAGCTGTTCAAACGCAGCAGCGCAGACCACCGCCTGAAGCTCACGATGAGACCCACGGGGTGCAGGGCCTGTGGTGCAGCGGCCGGCCTGCGAGGCTCCCCTCCACACAGGCTTTCCGGCCGCTTAAAAACAGTATGGATCAGCAGAGGCTCAGCCTACAGTCAGCGGTCAGCCACGTGAAGGGCGTGATCACGGCAGCGCCTTTAACAAAACCCCCGCGAGAACAAAGACCAGGAGGATACGCAGGCCTGGGACCAAGTGGCCACCCTCGTCCTCTTCCCTTCTCCCCACCACCCCAGCGCCCTGGGGCCCTCACCAGCCGTCGCTGTCGGCGGCATTCACGTTGACCCCGAAATCCAGCAGGAACTTCACAATCTGGTGGTGCCCGGCGCAGACGGCGTTGTGCAGCGGGGTGATGCCCTCGTCGTTGGGCTTGCTGGGGTCCTCCACCTAGGACAAAGGGCATGTGAGCTCTGGCCCTGCCCGGGGCCAGCAGGGCTGCGGCCGCCCGCCCGCTCACCTCATAGATGATCCTCTGCACCAGGTCGAACTCCCCCTCCAGGGAGGCATCAAGGAGAAGCGCCAGCGGGTTGAAGCGGACCCTCAGCCCGTGCCCCGTCCTCTCCGAGTTGGGCTTCTTCAGGTTGGTCCGTTTGCTCTATCGGGAGGAAGCTCTGGGTTTCAGGGTGACCCCATGGAAGCAGGCCCAGGGGAGGCGGGGAAGAGGGCAGGGCCGACAGCCCGAGGCAGAGCTTCGCCCGCAGCCCCGAGTGGTGCCGGGCACCGCGGGCCAGCCCGCTCTCAGGCCAGCCTGGCCTGGCTCCGGAGGGTGTCTCTGCCTCGGGGGCCGGGCTGCGCCACGGGCACCCGAGAGAGGCAGCAAGCGGGGGGGTCAGAGCCGAGCCCAACTGCTTCCGCCTTGCCAGCTGTGAGGGGCTCCCACCTGCCTCTGGCTCCTGCAGCACTGCCCTCCCTCCAGGGCTCTGTCTAGAAGGTTCTCCTTCCCCTTGCTGCCTGCCCTTCTGATCCCCACACGGCTGCCCTTCCTCAGGGCCGCCTCGGGCCCCTAGGCTGGCCCTCTGGTAAGAGGCCACCGCCCCTCGTGCCCCGGATAAGCCCCACTGCTTCCAGCAGCCCCGACGCAGGCACGCCCTCCACAGGCACTGGCCGGGTGACTAGGGAGCTGTTGCCCTGGTCCGGGGTGGCACCCACCGTAGGGGCCGCCGGCGGGGGCGCGGCGGGGGGAAGCGATGGGGGGAGTGGCGGCTCCGTGGGCGGGGCCGCAGCCACGTTGTTGTTGTCGTCCTCGGCAGGCTCGGCCGTTTGGTGGGTGTTCAGGGGACAGATGGGCCCCTCCGGTTCGGGGGAAGGGAGCCGGTTGTCATTGGCATCCGAGGCGGGGGCAGGCTCGGCCGGGAGTGGGGCCGTGGGCAGGGTGGGGCCGGCCTCGCCTAGGTTCCCGTTGGCAGCGGTGTTCCCATTGTCCACGTCGGCTAAGGAGCCCAGGAGGTCCCGCGAGGGGCTGGGCTGGTAGAAGGGGGTGCCCTCCATGCCCCCGGCCAGGGTGTTGAAGCGCTGGTACAGCAGCTTCTGGATGTTGGGCCCGCAGGGGCCCTCTGGCTCCGTGATGGAGCCGCGCTTCTTTAGGGGCCGGGGCGCGTTGGCCAGCTTCCTGCGCAGGGCCTCCAGGTCAGCATCGCTCTGGTAGCGCAACGGCGAGTGCACAATGGGCGTGAGCTTGGTGGGGCTGAGCGGCCGCGGCAGGCTCTCCACGGCGGCCCCGTCTCCGGGGGCGGCAGGGCTGTCCTGCTCTGGCTCCTTCTCAGCACTTTCTGAAGGCGGCAGGGGATGCGAGGCGCTTGTGGCCAGCGACCCATGAAGAAACGGTAGCGGCGACGGGGATGCAGAGCCGGAGGGCAGAACGGGTTTACCGTACACTGGGGAGACACAGAGGACACCCACCTCAGCAGCCTGTGGCGTCTGGGGCCTGCTCACCAGGCACCTTTGACGAAACAGAGATGGGCTCCTACGGAGACTGTCATCTGCCACTGAGGACGCTAAGTCCCTATATTAAATCCCAAAGGAACCTGCTGCTCACAGAACCCCACCAACTCCTTCTGGAAGGTGGAGTGTCTGTAGTTTATCAGTTTTTACAGAACTGGGTCTTTCTCAAATGAAAAAGAACAAAAGGTTGCAAACCTGCCTTCCTGCCCTAAACAGGTGTTCACTGTTTTCCTGGCCAAGGAGAAGCCACGTGACCTGGGACCAAGCCAAATGATGTAAAACGCAGGCCACCTCAGAAAGGAAGGCTCATCCGGTGGCCTTGGCAAGCCTTTCCCCCATGGGCCAGGGCCTGCCACAGGTCAGTGCTGGTATATCCACCTGGGAGATCCCTGGACACAGGGTGGCCTGGCCTGCCTAGGGATTCTCAAACTAGATTCTAGAAAAGTTCTGCAGCCCATGCCCAAGAACGTCTGAAGAGGCCCCAGCCCAGCCCAGATGCCCAGGATCCTGCCGCACAGGGAGGAATCACTGTCAGCCTCCGTATGTGGGGAACTGGGCTCTGTGCTCACACCTGCCTCCCCAGGAGGCCCGGGGCTGATGTTCCCGCACCCAAACAAGGGCTTTTCTCCCCTGTGGGCTCTGGGAAAGGATCCCAAAGCAGCAAAACCGTCTCCCCTCACATCACCCCCTAGGGGCCTGGCTCAGCTACTGCTAGGAGGCCAGGGGGATCAGATCCAGGCAGAGCTCGTACTACGCCAGCTCCCCAGATAGGTCCTGTACAAGTTACTACGAAGCAGGAGGAAAAGAGGAAATTCCAAAATGCCAGCCTTCCGAGACCTGGATTTCCTGAGAAATGTGGGCAGGCGGGCGCTCAGACAGGAAGTCAGAGAGCTGTGGTCCACCTGCAGAATTGCTCTATGCACGTCATCTTTTACCCCCATCTCACACAGATACCCAAGGCCGCACTTTATGTAAGAATCAAGTTTAATCCTAAACAGCATGTGGCCCAAAAGTAAGGATATGGATCGGCATTTTCTCAAATATGATTTCCTCACCCCGAGAGACGGAGAGTGCAAACCCACCATACCTGCTTTAACCGACTTATTTAAGGTGCTGTGCGCCGCTGGCTGGTACTTCTTAGGTGGCGTGGCTTGCTGGAGGTACATAGAGTATATGGAGCTTGAATTCACTGTCTGTGGCCCTTTCCTGGGGGACTGTGGCCTTGACCCTTTATCAGCCAGGAAGGGCCTAATGGCCACAGTTAGTGGGAGTTCAGATTTGCCGTCTCCAGCTGGAAAGGCAGGCAGCCCCGCCGGTGGGTATGTGGGACTTGGTGGCACAGAAATCCTCTGCTGAATCTGCTGGGAGGACCCTGGCTGGTGGGGGCCACTCGCAGGGGGCAGCGGTGCAGGTTTCTGCCGACTGGGCAGGCCTGCGCTGGGCCTGGGCAAGCTGCCCTCCTTCCTCCTCTCCAGGGAGTTTGTCGAGCCTGGGCCCACGGGCGCAGGGCTTGGGTATGTCCCATAGCTTGGGGGCAGCTGCTTGCCGACACCAGGGATGGGAGGTGGCACTTTACCAATCTCGATGCCCTAAATTTAGGTGTTAAAAAGAAAGACAAAGTCATCCTTTGAAAAGTCAAGCACGTTTCCATCCACGGTCACAAGAGCACAAAGCAGGACTTGTAATCCTTCAAACAGGCTTGTGACCAGGCACAGGGCACGCCGTGGGGGTGAACAGCAGGGTGAACGACCCTGACCAAAGGCCTCACACCTGTACCCCACTCTCGTGCTCAGGGTCCATGAACTCCTTCAGACTTGGGTATGATTTGGACACCAACAGGATTAATTTGCCTCGTGACACCTCCTACCACTTAGATAAAGACGAAGGCTAAATAAGGATGTAGTCAGTCAGGAGCTTGTTTGTGTTTTGTGACAAAGACAAACGGCATACCATCTTCTCCGGGGCTCCCAAGGCTGACAAGGGCATAGGCTGGCTCGAGACGGCCCCCTGCTTGAGAGGCCCCTCCACGTTCGGGTCCTTCCAGTCCACACTGGCGATCTGCGTCGGTTTCACCAAAGAGCTAGAATTTTGTTTTAATGTTGGCCAGTTTCCATCATTGGCTTGAAAAGAACACAGAATTTAAGTAAAATTTTTCTTGAAATTAGTTGAACCAACATAAGAATAACCCCCTGCCAGAAGCAAAAATCACCTTCTGGAACGTCACGCTCTGATGGAGCTCCATGACCAGGAGGCGCCCCCTACACACACACCGGCTGCTGCGCGGCAGGACGACCAAGGTCGGCCTCTGCCGGCACCGCCTCACCAGTGCCCACGTGCGGTCACGTGTGCAGAGACTCCATGACCAAGCACAGGGCTGCTCCTGTGCCCGGGCGAGGGGCCAGAGGATTGCAGAAACATTCTTAGCCCCCACTGAAATACAGGTCAAAGCCATTACATTGACACCAATGAATAACATAAGCGTCGGCACTTGGTTTTCAAACACTATTTACAAATACAGACAGCAATATAAAAAAAGACATCTTTTGACTTCATAACAGGTTTGACCTGTACTGCTTCTAGTATTAAAAGAAAAATTTGACTTTAATCTGTTAGAAATTTCCACCCTCTTAAAATAATTCATGATCACAGGAGGACAGTACAAGTTCCCAGTGATTGGAGTAGCAGGCTGTTATTCTGTTGCAGTGATTAGAAAGCCAGTCAACCCAGCATTTTCAGGACAGCCACTGAAAAGGTATGTTTTTTAACACAGCATCTTCCAAACTGAGAAAGGGTGCAGAAGCATTCCCTGGTAACACAGGCCCATTCACAGTGAGCCCACAGGGTTAGATCTCAGCCCGCCTCAGGCCCCTGCTTCTCTCTGCAGCGGTACAGGGCTGGACTGGAGTGGGAACCCTCCCAGCCATCAGCCGTATGGCAGGGAAAGCAGCCAGGGGCACTGTTCTGGGCCCTCCTGTAGGAGTAGCACATCCTCGCCTCTCCTCCCATCTGCCAGCACGGGCAGGTGGGGCAACAACAGAGCAGCAGGGAAATCACCCTCCCTAACAGCAACTGTGCTTGAGCCCAACTGCGACTCACAAAACAGGAAGAGCAAACTCTCAAATCCACTCTGCACACAGCCATACAAGGCAGCGTCAGCGCAGTGACGATGAGAGGGCCTCTGAGTGCCCGGGCAGCGACAGCTCCTAAGCCAAATCTATCTCTGGCAGCAGCACGGCCAGCCCATTGTGTCCACTGCTACTCCGGCTCAGTTCCGCCATGGCTGGAAACCACTGCAGGCTCCAGGCCGCTGCTAGGGCCCTGGTGAGGCATTCCCAGGCCTTAGTCCAAACCATCGCTTTGCTCTGTGTGGCCCATCAGCCTCTTCTGGGCCAGAAGTGTGTGTGCTTTCACACCCCCTTGGTTGTATCAGACCCGGGGGTGTGTGGGCCAGAGATGCACAGGTTCACCAAGGATGCACCGAGGTGCAAACTCCAGGCTGAGGGGAAAATGGACAGAGCCTGCTGCTGACTCAGGAGGGAGGACAGGGCTGGCCGTGGGGGCTAGAGTCCCCAGCCTCTCTCAGGATCACATAAAATGTGGCCACCAGCTGCTCCTCAGATCCCACAGCCATGGCAGAGTTCGCAGAAATCAGGCACAAAGGGACTGGACAGGGACTAGGAATTTTCTTTCTTCAGGATGAGGCAGGAGGTACAGAAGGAAGACCATTTATTCTTATTATAAAGGGACAAAATCATCTGTAAGTATGATGGGAGATGCCTGTACTGAAGATAAAACTAAAAGCCTCATAATGAACTCAGAAAATCATCTTAATTTTGTAAAAACAAAACCAAAAAACCCTTGCTGGGCCAGCACCTGTCAAACCCTTCCTGAGGATGATCTGGTGTTTCGACCCAGCCCAAATCTCACACCAGTTGAAGCCGGGGACCAATTTAACGTATATGTGGCTTCTGTCTCAAGCCTGAATGCGAGGAGCAGGCCTTCTCACACCAGTTGAAGGCGGGAACCAATTTAACGTATATGTGGCTTCTGTCTCAAGCCTGAATGCAAGGAGCAGGCCTTTGTCAGTTTGGAAGAACAGCCACGGCTGATTTGGCACTGTCACCAGAGCTTCCCACCGGACCTGCCAGCCAACATACGGTTCGCAAACGGGCTTGTGGGGCGCTGTGACGAGCCACAGTCAGGCCCGACGTCGAGGTCTGACACTGCCCAGGAGCTGGTCACTCTGGGTTTACCACGGCCATCTGTGTGACACGGGAACCAGAAGGATAGCCGACAGCACAGTTAGTCTCCCCTGGGAGATTTTCTCACCCCGGCTCTACATCTGGGCCGAGATACTGCCCCCCAACGTGGGGGTGACACAGGTCTCCTGTGCCCACTCACCCCACAGCACAGAGAAGGAGCGAGGCTACTGCCGAACCTCCGGAGGACATGGTCTCCCAGCCCTGCGAGGGGTGTTCTCCTGGCAGCCTCTGTGAGGCGGCCTAGCACACACCCACAGAGAAGAGGGGAAACTCAAGCCATCCTCAGCTCGGGGCAGGTTTGAGATATTTAAGCAGAGAAGGAGCCAGCTGTGCTAATTTTCTGCCATCGGCAATAGCTGAATGTATACTCCCACCATCTGGTGGTTCGAACTATAAATAACAGCTTATCAAAGAAAGCTGCAATTAGAGTTTCATGCCGACCACGCACTCCACGTGGCTTCTGAGACACAGCCACGAAGAGATTTGAGCCAGGCACATGGCCCATGAGGACTGGGGACACCCCCTCCCACCTGGGTCAGAGCAAGCCCCGGGTCCTCCAGCGGGGACAGCAGTGGTGTTGCTGCTCAGACCAGGTGCCAGGCAAGAGAACTCAAAGCGAACAAACAAAAGCCCAGCACAAATCTACCACCAAACCTGGAAAAACGTCCTCAAAATGTAGCCCTGACCCAGTCAGCACTACTGCTGTCAGGAATGTCACCTGTGCTCTGTGATTCCGTGTGTGATGGGCCAGCGTGGCAGCTCTGTCATATACAAAGTCTCACTGCCAAGGAGCCCTGGCATCTCATGCATCAGTTTAAAGCACAGCCGTCTTCCTCTGAGCACACAGCACGGAGTCTCCGTGGAGACCTGGGCCTGCGCTCAGCTAGGAAGCTGGGGGCGCCGCAGGGGCTCCATGTCCTCGGGACGGCTACGCACTGGCTCGGCGCTGGGGGCCTGAGTCCGGTCACACCGCACGATTCAGGGTGGTCAAGAGCCAAAGGGGTGGCTTGTGGACTCTCAGGTGGACAGAGACCATGCTGGGTAGGGAAGGCAGAGCAGCTACAGGCTCTGCTGATGTGGAGGCAGCCCTCTGCCTGGGCCGCAGCGTGAGGACGAGCAGCAGCCCAGGCTGCAGTGACGCGTCCCCTGCCGCCAGCGAGCACCCTCACAGGCAAACAAAACCTGTGGCAGGAGAGGCTCAGGTCTTAACTAATTTGTGTTTTGAGAAGCCACACAGTAAGGACACTGAGTCCAGAAAAGAGAACCTGTTCTTGTTTTAGGATAATCGTTACTGTGGTGGCACACAGCTCCCCAAATGCTGCCCTAGAGGACAAAGTGCCTTGGAGGACACATCACAGAGGCTGGGTGCAATGTGGGGGTCTTCTCTGAGGCCACTGTCCCCCCCACAGTCCCCCTTCCCGCTCACTCTCCCCCCGAAAGAGGACCCAGGCCACTCACCGGATTTGGATCTTCCGTGGGCAGCACTTGAGGTGATAGTGAGAGACTGGGGCTTTATGGGGTCTCCGGGGGCAGGATAGCTGCCGGTGCTGGGAACCTGGATGTAAGGCCCCACCGCAGCGACCCTGCCAGGCGTGCTCAGGGGTGACTGTGGCGACGACGTGCCATTCACACGGCTCAGCTATAAAATGGGAAGAAATCAGAGTCAAGATTCTCCTCAGTTAAATTCTTTTAACTGTAAGCCTAGTATGACCGACTGCTCAGATTTGAGCCACTCAACAGTTCATACGTAGGAAGCTCCATCACCCTAGAAGATCAGTATCTAGAAAGGGCAAGACTTCAAAAAAGGGCCTGAACCCACAGTCCCACATGAGTGATGCTCTGTGATAACACCTACCTGTTTGTGAGTTATAAAACCAGGAGCCGAGTGTGTAACAGAGCAACCCCTCAGGACCCCTCTGTGTACATAACCCTCTCACCTGGGGATGCACTCCCTTCCCTGGGTGGGCACAGAAGCATTGTCAAGCCTGGGCTCTGAGCCTGGCTTCAAATCCTGCTCTGCCACTTACTCACTGGGCTGCCTTAGGCAAGTGATGCAACATCTCTGAGCCTCTGTGCCCATGTCCGAAAATTCGGGATAAGCGTTGTTGTAAGGACTGAATGAGCCACGCAGGACAAAGTAATAGGGTCCAGAACCAGGTGAGACTCTGACCAGTTCCCTGAAGGCAGCTCTGCCGTTCTCAGCAAGGACACCAGGCCACAGCCAATGACACTGGTCACGTGACACTGCCCAACAACAAAAGCCTGCAAAACAGGGATCTGACTAGAGAAACACTGACCCTTAGAGTTCCCCAGACAGGCTCTGAGAGAGCCATACCCATCCTACAATTGTTTGCAAAATTCTGCATGCATGAGCATGTGTCATTTTGGAGAAAGCGTCCATGATTTTGACAATTGTTCAAAGGTGCCTAAAACCTTTGGGTTGGAGACACAGAAGCACCAACTTCTTCAGGGAGATCCCCTAAGTATCAGATGGAATAAGAAGTAATATTTATGTAGCCATCTGTGATGGTTAATTTTACCTATCAACTTGGCTAGGCTGTGATACCCAGATATTTGGTCAAACATGTCTAGATGTTGCTCTAACGGTATTTTTAACATTTAAATCAACAGACTTTGAGTAAAGCAGACTGCCCTCCATAATGTGGGTGGGCTGCATCCAATCAGTTGAAGGGCTTACAGAGAAAGACTGAGGTCCTCAGAGGAAGAGGGAATTCCACCTCTAGACTGCCTTCAGACTCATGCTGCAACATCCACAACTCCCTGGGTTTCAGGCTGCCAGCCAGCCCTGCAGATTTGGGGTGCGCCTGCCTCCACAACCGCATGAGGCAGTTCCTTACAGTCAGTCAACTGATCAGTCTCTACACACATGTACACACAGAACTGATTCTGTTCTCCGGAGACCCCTGACCCACCACTACTAAGACTGTAATGTAAGCAAGCATGGAGCACGGGCACACGTCCTCTCCCATGCTCTGTGTGTTGTTAATTGAGAGAACAAGGAAATCATTATCTGAAATCATGGCATCATACAGATCAACCATTGACCTTTAAGCACTCTGGTTAAAAAAAAAAAAAGTGTGGATTTTTAAATAAGAGACTTTTCACCTGAGACCACTGATCATGATGCCCACAGAAGTGGCACTACCCTTCTGCCTCTCGTGTCCTCCTAACCCATCCCACCAGGCGAAGCTGCTGAAGCCTGCACCTCGCCTCCTGAGAGCTACCTTCAGAGCAGCAGGAGCTGACTAGAGGACACCTGTCAACCGTGAAAGCACTGGTTTTGGAGTGTGGAGACAGGAACTCTGGGAGCACTGTCCCAGCTACCTGGCTGCCTGCTCCATTTCCACTCCTGAGGGCAAAGTGCCAATCAGCTCTCCACTCAGGCACTGCTCCCCTCAAACACTGAGCACCACTGGTGGAACAAAAGGTCAAGTGCTACATCCGGCCAGAGACACCACACACAGCAGTCCCTTATCCTCCCACAAACTCCCAGCGATGCATACGCTCATGAAGCGCTGACAGCAGCGGCAAGACTCAGGGACACCCTGCCTAACAACAGGGCTGGGTAACATGACCACAGGCCCTGGGACATGGAATTTTACACAGAAGTTACAAAAGGAATGAGGTAATAATGACCTGGAAAGATACCCACATTGCAGTTAAAAAAAAAAAAAAAAAAAA